TAGCAGTTACGCCTCAGAGGAACGGCAATTATATAACCTAATTTGTCTTCTTGTTTTATATGATCCATTTTCTCAAACATAAATTTATTTTTTGTGATACATAAGATTGTATTCACATTTCTATATTCCTGTTTATTAAAAACAGATGTCAAAATTACACAGACTTGAAGGTCTGCCTTTTGGGAAAAACCTGACATATAAGAATACCTTAATTCTGTGCAAAAAAGCAGGCTTCTCTTTCAATGTAAATGGCGAATGTTTTGCTTTTCTCTATGGATACATCAACCTCAAACCAATATTATTTTTTGAAAAGAAAAACAAAATGAGGAAAAAGTCATAGGGAAAAATGCTTGAGTAAATAATTAGCTCCCTTTATTTTAAAATAAATGCTTTTCCTTCTAATCTCCGATTTCATTCATTGCCACATTAATAAAAGATCATAATCTTTTAAAATTTTCTAAGATTTTAGCATTATTCCAGGACTAAAGCTGAGTAGAAAAATAACTGGGTTTGCACAGAGAAAGAAAAACTTTAGTTTGCTTTCATGATTCTCTGCCTGAATTCGCAAGTTCTGAAAAATCTTCTGTTTTAAATCAAGGATAAATTCCCTCTCCCTTGGCTCATGGATCTTCATTTTCACTGAGCCTAGAGGAGTTAATACCACTTGGAAAACATGCGGAAGAGGGATTTAGAGATCCTGAAAGGTGAGCACCTGCTTGTGCTAAATAAATCAGAGGCACTCTGCCCCCTGGTGGACCGGTCCAAGATGGGTTTTGACGAGAGGTGCGGAAACTTCACTTCCCACATCCTTCCCTACCAGCCTCTTCTCTTCTGAAAACCACATTAGGTGCCAGGTTGAAAGCTTTTGCCGCCACTCACTGCACATTCACTTGGGTCAACTATTCCCTCTTATATAAGACTCTTCAGCTACCTAATCAGCCCTTCACAGCTATAATGAGAACCATAAGCATCATTATTGTTTATCATGGTTTTATACAAATAAGAAAAAAGCAGAGGTGGAAAATGAGGTTCAAGAAAAGAAGCAGATAGGTCCAGGAACACTGGACTCTGGAAAGACAGCTAGAAATCTCTAGACAAGGAAGAGGAAGTGGGAGAGCATTTAAAGGGAGCAAGAAAGAGGGTGCAATACGAGACTAAATATGTAGCCCTTTGTGACCATTACAGCCACTGAAATCCTTCTCCTCTGCTCCCTTCTGTCCTTGGGGCTGAGTTTCACACGTCTAGAGGGTGAATTAATTGTAAAGGGTTAGAGACCTCACTAGTTTACTTCTAGTTTAGCCATGTCTTTCCCACTCAGGCTAGTCTGGTCTCTCCCGTCCAACTCTTCCAAGTAGCCCTGTTTCTCTATGTGACAGATACCCTGCATCCACAAAGGAGGCCATGGGAAAAATGGCTGAGAGTAGGGCCAACTTCTCAGAGCCAAAAGGTGTCAGGCAGCTTGATAAGCGCTTGACAAGTACAGGTTCTAAGCCTTTGCAGCAACTTGTAAGTAGAGAACTTTTGAGAAGAACCACACAGCTCTAAAATGATTTATTTGAGATCCAAACCCAGATCTTTCTGACTCCAAAATTTATCTTTTTGCTTAGTTCCCTGGCCTTCAACTAGGTCAATCTATTGCTCTGAAGATACCCCCAAGCTGCCTTCTAACCCGGTTCCTCCCTTTGTGTTTTAAGCATCACACAGCACCTTAGAATCACACTACCTGGCCTAGAAACTGAATGTTCCCTCTAAAAATGCTGATCTGGGAAACTCTTGTGATAGTGAATCTGACTTGCCCTCTTTGCAGAATAATCCATCTCACTCATTGTGAACTCTTTCTATAGATACAAACTGAATCCCCCAAATCCTGGTAGTACACCTCAGTCTGGTATCGTATTATTGACCATCAACTATTTTCTCATGAAGGCTAGAACTCTAAGAACAATCCCAACCAATGAACCAGTCTTCCCACAATAATAGAACTACTACCATGCTTTGTAGAACACAAGCGGACTTTTATTTCATTATTTCCTTAAATTTCATTTCCAATTATACATTTGCTGAAAGGTGGGGTATGAAAGGCAATTTTTAGTCACAGAAACTCCATCAAATACACATGATCTGAGATTTTTCTGCTTGAATGAACAATAGTCCTCTCAGGGTTTCCTGGTTAAAAAAAAAAAAAACAACTAATATCATAGGAAAAGTGAAGGACATTGTTCTGTAGAAAATTTATTGAACTTAAGCAACATTCATGAGTGCAGTGTCCATTTTTAAAAAGGAAACTCTAAAATTCCAAGAAACGCAAGACAATATTAGTATTATTGAATGAGTATATATTTATATATTTGTGTGAAAAATTGTGCAATTAAACAATATGGAAAACGTTATTTGTCACCACAGCCAATGGAAATATATTTTCATTTCTATGTAAGTGAAACATTTCCATGTCCCATTGTATGTTATAAAAAATATCCATGTGTCCAGTTTATGAAATAAACTGTGCTGTAGGCAGCAGTAACTGAAAAGGAGCTTAACAGTCTTAACTACATACCCCTGGGATGAATTATAGACTTTGCGTAACCATGTGCAATGCTAGAGGATGATTCTAGATCTCTGATAAGAACAAGGGTTTGCAGGCTTCTATTTCACACAATATGCCCCAAATCCAGTTAACACAGCCAAATAGTTAAGCAATAGTTTAGGTGGATAATTTACAAAATAGCAAACAACTATTGACTACACTGATTGTGCCTTGTGAATATGCGGACATAAGCATTGTAGGTGCCCTGTAAAAAAAGTCATTTGTAAGTGGCTATTTGTTTCAATTAATTTTCCCCCTAAGGCTCATAGAAGTTGACTTAATTGCCTCTTAAGCCCAAAGAAAACATAGTTGCATAAATAAGAAAAACAATATATTAATGACATAAAAACAAATACCATGCTCTATGCACATTCCTCCATAGGAGAAATATCACAAAAAGCAAGAAAAGAAACTTGAGGATCCAGAATAAGCACGTATAGGCTTATCTAATGGCTAAAATTTTATCTCACTCCAGGGAGAGGTGCAAATGTTGATCAAAATTTCCATTTTTACTTAGCTTACATGAGAACCTTTCAATAGTATATTATCAAGAGTCATTACCCCAGGGGGAAGGTCTGCACATGCAGTATTTCAATGCTGAGATATTGGGTATTTCAGCTCAGTACACATACTGTCTTATCGTGGTGGGAAGTTTCAAGCAGAGAGTGAATCTATTTTACCAAAACACACTGCTTCTGAAGACAAAAGGTACCAACTGCAGAAAACCCTCTGAAGAAAGGAATACTTGGAATATTAAACACTGCTTGTATACATTTTATTTTTGTGCTGATATCCTTCAGAGGTACTTATTTTTATTAAGACAATGAATTTTTCAATCTCCTAAGGTGTTATTTTACCCTGTATTGGGAAGCCCTCTGAGTGAATTTGAGATAGTAACTGAATATGGTTGAAATTTGAAAAGGCAGATAAATTCAAAGTATTTCAGATATTATATTTAGTGATTGGTCAGGTCAGCGACAAATTTATAAGGTTCAAAGATTTGCCTGTTCCCTGATAAACTAAGTCTGATGTTGCTTTTATCAGTTACAAAGAAAACAAACTCGATTTTGACTCCTTTAGGCTTTTCTGAAGACCTTGCACATCATTTTCTAGTCACGTTTATTCCTGCCCTAACTTCAATAGCATGGGAAAAGAAGTAAGTCTGTTTTTCGTATGTTTTTTAGGGCTCTTAATGCATTTTGGATTTCTGGAGAAGGGAGCTAGTTCTCTTGGTTACTTTATACTCTGGCACACAAGGGACTTACAGATGAGCAAGGAGAGTGCAAATGACTATCAGAAGAAATTCTCATGCATTTTAAGATTTTTTTTACAAGTCAAAATATACATCCTTCTATTGCCCCCATTCCTTAATTATATAAGAACCGTTCCCATTTCAACAGCCTCCTTCACATCTCACTGAATTGGATAAGGAATAAAGATACTTGTCTTGTTAAGGAACAGTTTATATCTAGCACTAATCGGTTTTACCCATTGCATTAGTAAGAAATATAGCAGCAGTTTGGGCTGAGCCACTCATCATACCCTCTATTTGTGGGGATTTAGACGTGTAATTGAAATTGCAGACACGTGAAATTAGGAGAACAACAATGCAACCTGCAGACTTTGGCACTAGTACACACAATGTTTTGTCTGGGTTGTTAGAGTTGTGGTTTGATAACTGCTAAACAGAAATTTAAACAAATCTGCAGAAAACAATCATAGGTGTCGATTCTCAGGTTAATGATCCCCATCTCCCATGCCCCCACCCCCACCCCCATATAGTTTCCATTATAATAAAAATAAAGATCTTAACATCTGAGTTTTGCTGTTAACTCTACAAGGTTTCTCTGTGCCCTCCAAGCCACACACCGGGTTTGAAGCACCAAATCCACAAGTTTCTCCAACCAAGTTTAAATAAACAAAAGCTGAAGATGGAAGGATGTCAAAGTAACTGTTCTCAAATGAAGCTGTAACACAAAGTTCTCCCCCAAACACAGGGTATCAAGCATCTAGTTCAAGTACGGCCAGGCTGCATGTAGATCTGTCTCAGACAGGTTCCCGACAACCACTACAGCCCACTGGGTCTAGAGGTCATCATCCGTGATACCAAAGCTGGGCAGGATCCCCTTCCCAGCATCAATTTTAAAAGTTGCAACCCCCTTCGTGATTGGCTGTTGCAGGGTCAGCGCAGAGCCCAAAGTCTGAGGGAGGAGTGAGCCTCGTCCTCAGCAGGGACGCTGGACCCCTCTAGCTGGAACGTCCTCCTTCCAGAGCTCGCTCTCGGGACTGTCCCGGCTGCTCAGGATCCATCCCTCGCCCAGCAGAGAGCGCCTCCTTCTGACCCAGTAATCACTAAAGAAGATTCGACCTACCTGTGGAACCAGACCCCACTTGGTCCCCAAAGGTCGCTTAGGCAACCCCACTGCCCTTGGCAAGTCAGCTTGTGCACTTAAAGCGTATCAGTTTGTGGAAGGCTTGCTTAAAGTCCTCATTGGACATGGTGTAGATGATGGGGTTGATGAGGGAGTTGAGATAGCCCAGCCACGTGAAGAAGTCAAAAATGGCCAGGTGGAACCAGCAGGCATCCTTGCAGATGGGTATGGCCAGGGAGATGATGAAGAAGGGCAGCCAGCACACGATGAAGGCGCCCAGGATGATGCCCAGCGTCTTGGTGGCCTTGCGCTCCCTGGCGGCCATGAGCTTCTTCTTCTCCAGCAGGGCGTCGGAGACTCGCACTCTGACTTGGTTCACGTACACGGGGGAGCCGGATTCGCTGGGCGCGTCGGGAGCCCGCGAGTTGGTGGACGTGACCGAGGACGTGGACCCGGGGGAGTCAGTGATCAGCTGCGCTCTGGTCAGGCGCTTGCCGGCCTGGTGGGGCGTCTGCTTCAGGATGCGGGAGCGGGCTTCCACGTAGATGCGGCCGTAGAGGGCGATGAGGAGCAGGGTGGGGAAGTAGAAGGCGCCCACCGTGGAGTAGACGGTGTAGAGGATGTGCTCGGTGTTCACCACGCACACCGCCTCCTCGGCCTTGGCCTGGCGCCAGAAGAAGGGCGGCAGCGAGATGCAGATGGAGAAGACCCACACCAGGGTGATCATGCCCGCCGCCCTCCGCGGAGTCCTCTTCGCTGAGTACTCCACGGCGTCCGTGATGGCCCAGTAGCGGTCCAGTGCGATGACACATAGGTGCAGAATGGAGGCAGTGCAACAGGTGATGTCCGACGACAGCCAGAAGTCGCAGACCGCCTGGCCCAGCGTCCAGCGGCCGGTGACCGTGTACACGGTGCTGATGGGCATCACCAGGACGGACACGAGCAGGTCGGTGACCGCCAGGGAGGCGATCAGATAGTTGGCCGGCGTGTGCAGTTTTCGGGTTCGGTACACCGTGGCGACCACAAAGGCATTGGACAGCGTAGTGGCCAAGGTGACCAGTGCCAGCAGCACGACCAGCAAGACTTTCCAGGGAAGGGCGATGGAGTCCTGGTAGATGTCGTCCTTGGCGCTGCAGTTGTGGGAGGGGGCAGAGGAGAAGTTGTCCTGAGGAACCCCTGTCAGGGAGCCCACAGGCGGCAGCGGGGTGCACCGATCCCCCATGGCTCTCCTCGCTCAAGCCTCGGAGAGCAGCTCTTAGGCATGGAGCGGACAAGGGAGAGGGCGGGAGGACCCCGGAGATCACCGGTTTGTCCCCGGCTGCTGGTCAGTGTTTTGGTTCACCAATCACTCCTCTGCCCAAGTTCCCAGCTAAAACCAGAGGTCAGGGGTGCGGCAACCAAACACCGCAGGCGCGTCCCCTGCACTTCCAGCGCGCCTGGCGCTGCGGCCGCGTCCCTGGTCGCTCCTCTCCACGCCCCGTCTCCGTCCTGGGTTCCTAAGAACTGGCCCACACAGCCTGGCTCCGGCTCCCCGGAGGTGTCTGGTGCAGAAGGACGCAATATTGCTTGAAGAGAGAGCTTTGGCCAAGTGGGGTCGCCTACCCCGGGTGCTCGGGGATGAGCGTCTCCTAACCTGGGCGCTCCTGGCTCTGCAGGCTCTGCCTGCAGGAGTTTCCTAGGTGTCGAGCGCAAAGCGAAGCTGCCCGGTCTTGCATTCCCGCCCCTAAACCGACGCTGGGGCACTTTGCTGAGGCGGCCGCGGCCGCCGGCGCCGGGCGGGGTGAAGTCTGAGAGCCGCGCGGCGCGGCGCCTGGCGCTGGAGTTCGGCCCCCCCTCTCATTCCACGCGCTCGCTACTCGGGCGAGCCGCCCCGCAGAGACGAGGCCGCCGGAGTGGGGACTGGGGGCTGGAGCTGCGGCTGCTCGCGCCGCGCCGCGGCCACCACCACCCCGGTCCCACCGGCACCGCTCGGAGCCATGCCACCCGGCGCGTGGGTCCGGGCGACCCGGCGGGGCACACGCGTAAGGGGCAGGTGTCTGGGGGAGCCCGAGGGACGCGGCGTGCGCCAGCCCGGTGGGAGCGTGTGAGCGGGGAGCGGATGGGCTCCTTATATAGAGTCCAGGTCCGGTCCGCCCGAGCCGTGCAACTCGTGCGGCGCGGCGAGTGCGGACGCCGGTTCCCCATCACCTTTCCTTTTTCTCTCTTCCCCCTCCTTTCCTCCCGCCCCGTTCCCTTCTCTGCCGAGAAAGCTCCCGCCGGGTCCTACCGCCCTCTCTCCCCACTTCCAGCCCCTGGCCCCTCTCGCGACCCTGACCACGCGGAGCTGCAGTTCTGACCAGGAATGGGGATGAGGGCGTCCTGGTCTTGCTTCTGCCGGCTTCGGAGCTCGCTGCGCCTTCCGCCAGTCAGACCTACGCCCTTAGCCGCGGTCACAGGCTTAGTCCCTGCGTCCTAGACTCCCACCTACCACTCCCCACACGCCTCCGCCCCAGGACGCCAGTGCCCGGTGGAACAAGACCCAGTCTCTGCCCTCTCTGCTCCGGAATCTTATCCAGCCCCGAGGGCCACACCCAGGGTAGAAGAGGCACCAGCAGTATCAGAGTGGAAGGAAGGGGCCAATATGTGCATTTTGTTACATGAGCTTCAGACTTCGAATCATCCTTAGCTCTTGGTATATAAAAACAGAATTTTCATCTAGCTTTAAAAATTTGTGTTTTCATTCGATCCCTCCCCCTTTGAACGTGAGTCAACAGGGAAAAAGAAAGAAAAAGCTGTAGGCAAAAAATGCAAAAGTAACGCGAACAGAAAGCAGCTGTATGTGAAATGAAGCTTCTGCCCCACCCTCCAGCGCCAGTGCCTCGGGAACAGTTCCCAGTAAGCATGTCCTTTCTGAGAGCCTGTTTAGAAAGGAGGTGGTCACAGCTCAAGAGAAAATGGGCACTGGAGTCACCGTCGGCTGTCTCCTTTGCCCTCATCAAATACAGGAGGGTTAGTCTAAAGCAGCCACAAGTGACCCCTGGGTCCCAGGACCTGAGCAGACCCCCTTTCCTCAGTTTATCCTCCGTCCCAAACAAAAAAAAAAAATATGTAGAGTAGAAATACAAATGAGAACGTGTAAAGAAAAACACCAGCAAAGGACGATGTATTTTCAGCCCTAAGGACTAAGGAACCCCCCTACAAATTCCTAGAGCTTAGACCCATGTTTGGCACCTAGAAGGCATCTAATACACACTGCATTGTATTTGGAATTTATCAGATTAAGCACAAGTGTATCTCAAAGAGAATCAATCACAGAGATGATCTGATCCATCCACACAGTTCTAAAGAACAAGTAATCCGCATCCTTTGAAAGAGGAGCTTTTTACCCAAGGTGACAGAGCCTAAAGCCAAGTTCCTCGATTCTGATTCTCGGTTCTCTAAACCAGGCAGGCAGGCAAGAAACAGAACGCGGCTGGGTGGGGGGTGATTTGATAGATGTCAGGGGTATGGAGGTCAAATGGGGTAGACCCAGATCCAGTTGTCCAGCAATTTACGTTCTAGAAAAGGAAGGCTGACAAAACCACATTAACAAGTAAACAACTAATACTGCATATTTTTCTATAGTGTTAAGTGTTATGAAGAAAATAACACACACCCCAGCATTGACAGCACTGGTATTCCTTTAACTAAAGTGGCGACTCTCCAAGGATGTCCTAGATGTGGTCTGGGCTGCCGCAGCAGCAGCGGCCCGAGAATGTAACGCAGCCCTCTCTCTTGGCAACCTGAAGCCTCATTTTCACCGCATTTTAAAGAGTCTTCCCATCTTCACACCCCATCCACCCAGCTAGAATCGGTTGTTTTGCAAACTGCAGAGAGCTCTTAGGCAAGGGAAGCACAGCCAGTGAGCTTAAACCACTAGGTGGGGGCCTTGGCCAAAACCGAAGAAAAGCATGTACGGCTGCGGGGTGCGAGTGCGGGTGTGGGGTGCGGCTGCGGCTGCGGGGTGCGGGTGTGGGTGTGGGTATGGGGTGCGGCTGCAGCTGCGGGGTGCGGGTGTGGCTGCGGGGTGCGGCTACGGCTGCGGGGAGCTGATGCGGGTTTGAGTGGTGGATACCGGAAAACTATTTTTTTCTGATATCTTAGGGCAGCAGAGAAAGATTAGAGAGAACTGTTGAAGGGATGAGGAGCAGGGTATGCCGAGAGGAATGTTCCCAGCTGCATGCTGCGTTTCCTTTTAAATTTCTGCTCCAGGAGCAGGCGAAGGAAAAACCACTTGTTCGCCAAAGGGTTTGGCTTTCTCGGTGTGGGGACCTGTGGCTTCCTCCAGCCAAGCTTCCTTCCGCAGCTTGGTGGGGCGTGGGGCGGAGTTTGATTTTATCCTCCGAGTGCTTGAGTCAGAGTTGCAGTGACCCCCCAGGCTCACAGCCCCAGGGTTCTGGCGGAGTTCGCCGAGACCCCATCTCATTAACGCGGCTTCTGCATGTCCCTCATTCCCTTCGCACTTCCAACATATAAAGTAAGTAGGGTTTGCACGTGGGCGCCTGTATTGAAACATCGACAGAGCAGGGAACCTGAAAGTCGCCTGTGCCTGGTCACCCCTGTGGAGAAGGAATCAACTTTGGGGAGAATTCTGTGGACAAAGGCTCTACTTGAGGCGCAGGAGGGATGAGCCCGGAAAGGACGTGGAGATAGAGCACCAGAGCGCAGCGAGAGTTAGTCTTCTTGACCACCCAGCACTGAAAGGTGAATGTGCTCCCTCCTCAGTTCCATGCGGCTAGACTCTTAGTGCAAACTACGTGGAAGACAACTCTGGAACTGAAATCTGAGATCAGATGCAAAGTCGGACATGGAGAGCTGGCTACTAGGAGCAAGAGAAGAATCTGCCCTCAAGGAGCCCCCACGTCGGTGGTGGTGCTGGGAAAACCAAAGGCGCAGGCTGGGAAGCGTCAGGCGCGGTGCTAACCAGACCCAGCACTGGGAGAGCAGCCAGATCCGCCTGCGCAGTCACAGGAACATCCCACAGAACGCACTGCAGCTCGCCCTCCGCCCAGGCTGCGGTCAGCTGGCCCTGCTCAGCCCAGGCCAGCCCTTTTGCCGGCCCTTGCTTTCAACTTCCCTATGGTATTTCCGCCAGCATGTCTCCCTTACGAGCACAAGTAACCCAGGCACAAGAGGAAAGAAAGTTCTTCTGATTTTGTCTTTGCTTCCCTGAAATAAAAAAATGCTAGAGAACTCATACTTTTGTCACCTTGCTTCTTTGCTATAGGAAAATGCAACCCTACCCCCAACATCTCCACCTCCTAAAAATGTACAAGTGGTCCCTAAACCACAGAATGTGCAGACCACACAAGCCTAGATTCCTCTTATACTTCCTCCAGTAACTATTCCTTAAAAAGTTTACTGGTGGCAAGGAAAGTACAAGGTCCACCCAGGGCCTAGGTTCTTACCATCTTTTATGTCTTCCTTGATGTAAATATGAAAATATTCAGATTAATGAACCTATATCTACATACATATGAGATTAATGAATGTATATCTACATACATATCAGATTAATGCATTTATCTACATATATATCAGATTAATGAGCATATATGTACATACATATCAGATTAATGAACATATATCTACATACATATCAGATTAATGAACAATTATCTACATACATATCAGATTAATGAATATATATCTACATACATAAACCTACTCTACAAGATGGTTTCAGGCATCCACCACCCACACCCACAGACACATGGCATTTCTGCAGACAAATTCTGGGAGTTTCCAGGCCACATGAGACTCAGACCCCTCCATAGTCACTGGATGCCACATCAGGCCTTTAACCTGCTATCTGCATTGTGGTAGTATGTGCAGTCTGCTGTATTAGAAAATTTGAAGCCTCGTCAAATAATAAAAGTAGATGCTTCATTGTCTAAATGCTGGGCTAATGTAACTTAATCCCTGAGAATGAGTAACTCTGCTATGTCTATGTATGGATACAAAATACACATATTATGTAAGCCATATTTATATTTAAGGAAGAATATATACAAAAATTAAAGCAAGCATATGTAACTTAGACATTTTCTGCCTGTCTCTGTAGTAATAGATACTTTGCTGCTTTCAACAGATGAACAGATACTTGTAACAAGTAGGTTACTGCTGGTTCAAAGGTAGCCCAGTTTTGATCAGGAAAAGAGCCAGCTCCCCCTTAAGATCAAATCACTATTTCCTATCTGAATACCTAGGTCTTAGAAGAAAATTTCTAAATCAAAGTTATTGTTAAGTAATGTAGGTAGAAGCTGCATGGAGGATGGGGTGCTGAATTTTTATACTTGGACAAAGAATGGGATTTGACAATAATGAAATCTTTGATGGAAAAACAATGCCAATGAATGTATTAAATGTAGACACAACTTGCTGGTTTAAGCTGGCAGTACCATTAAGCAGCTTTGTTCAGGATGAAGTGTCTCCTGAAAAGCCAAATCAAAGAATTTGATGGTGATGTTGTCTTCCAGCCTAAAGATAGGAGCAATAGAAAGGGCAGAAGCCTTATTTTGCCAGAGAAAGGCAAACTTCTATTTAAACCAGGAAAAACTGCAT